TCCCATAGCGCTCCAAGCAATTGATAAATTATGGCTCCAGTGAGACTATTGGGTTAAACACCAATGAAGAAAGAATGATGACAGTAATACTTGTCATTTGTGTGGAGATGTAGCAACACAAACCCCTCTCTCAAACATAAGTTATCTTGGAGGAATCTTTCCAAGGGATAGGCTTTCTGAAACACATTTATGACTTTTGAATACACGATAGGCATGAACTTGACATGACCTGCTTTGGCCAAGTCCTGGGATTCATCCTGGTCTTCTACCACCACAAATCAGTTTATCTGAAGTGCAGACTGATGTCTTCACTGAGTTGACAAGGTTGCAGCACATACCAGCTGAAGAAAAACTAGGATGTATAGCACTTTGTTCTCAGGACTCAAAAATTCAGAGATATTTTTACTAAAGCTAGAAGAAAATGGCTATGTTCTACCAATACACAGAGGCCAATAAAATGCCTGGGATGATTAAAATATTCAAAACACCATTGAAATAAGAGCATTGACACCCTTATATTATATGAAAATCCCTCTATGTTTACATCGGAAAATGCAAGGGAAAGCAGCGGATAAAGGCTTTATATTAAGCATCCTAGACACAAGTGTTTTTTCTTTCTAACTTTCCACAGCATCATGCTGTAAGTTTTTTGTGTCACCCCATCTCAGCATTCACACCATCCTCTCAGCTTGACTTCAATGCTAAATTATCAAATTACACTGACTTTTGAGTTTGTTCATAAGAACAAATAAAATGCTATAGTGTTAGAGAATTGGATAAAAGGTGGGACATGTTTCCAAGGACCAAGACACTGAGGCACTGAACAGCACCAGTTACATTGTGGATAAGGCTGTAGTCACTGAAGTAACTGAAAAAACAACCAAAGCCTCCACAGTATACGCAGCACACATCAACATTCACTGCTGGGAGGAGAGGAAGCCTCAGCAGTCAGGAAGGATACACAATGTGGGATCTCTCACTTTTCTTTCATCCTGGGACAGTCCCTATGTAAGGAACCAGTGACCTGGCTGCTCCCGTAGCCTGACTGCAGCAAAGCCATTAATGGGTTTCCAGAAAGGTGGCTGCAGATGCAGGCACGGGCTGGTGACACGTAGGGCCTGTGTCACATGCTAGGTCACCCCAGATTGTCAGAACGACCTCCTTCTCTGAAACAGGCCTCTTTGGTTGCAATTCTCCTGCTAGTCATAATTAAGGAAATTCTATTACACAGTTCAGATATGATTATAGCTGTAGTACAAACCAATTAATCTAAATATAATGGTAAAATTTCTCCTATGTGATTGAATAATTACTGCAATACAACTCCAGTAGGCCAAAGATCAGGAACATTTCATATGAATATCATTCAGAAACTAGCATTTTAAAATTGCATTGCTCATTCATACAACACACATCATAGAAGCAGATTCACTACAAAAATCAAATATAAAAGAACTGAGCTGAGAATCATTAAAAACGTATTTTTAAATTAAGAACAACCACATTATTAGATATAATAATTTTTCCTTCACACTAATTTGTTTTAATCTATTTATGCTCCTTATAAAACATTACACAAATTTTAATCAGAACATTGTTTTCTTCAAGTATGTGCATTTCACTAAACAACACTTGCATGTATAAATTTAGGGAGTTAAAATGATAGACTGACACTAGAACTGCGCAGTCACTTATTCAGAAAAAAAACCTGCCTTGTTTTCGTGTCTGTAAATTTTCTACGGAAAGCCATTATTTTTTTCAGTGTATTCATTATTCAATATATTAGTTGAATAGTCCTACAGAGACTTCTCTGCTTTTGAATCATTCACAGCCTGTTAGTTCCAATTATTTCACATTTGAAATTTGAACCCGAGTCCTTCCTTTTTATTGGACACAGAGTTTACATGAACTGATGCTGTTCTCTAGCTGAAAAAATGTGACCAGAATGCAGATTAAGTTTTGTACATAGTGCCAGCAGTTCACGTCTGTGTTTCAACAGAAGTAAGTTCCGTAGCTATAATACAAGATCAACCTGAACTCAAGATGAAAGCCATCTTAGGATAACTCTGACGAAGCACCTGCATCTTACATAGACCATTATTTCACACCTTTCAATACCCACGTAGCACACAGTACCATCTTCTGCCAAGACTATGCAGTTATGTCCCCTTCTAGAAAGACAGCTTTGAAAAGAAAATAATAAACTCTGAAGGAGTACTCTTCCCAAAGTGTGCTATACTTTAGAGTTACCCACCCAGTCGTGACAGGGATGGAGTTATGGACCTGGAAAACAGAGCTCTCAGAAGGGCCATGTGAGCAAGTTGTTGCCTGTCCCTCCCCATGTTAATGGCTCTCTGAATGCCACAACATCACCAGAAATTCTGGGCAGTACCCTGTAATTCTCCACTCCTGTGAGGCTTAGGAAGGCAAGGCTGGTGGCAGCCTTCAGTCCTATGAGGCTAGGTAATATGAAAATCAAAGTATACAGTGGAGAGGGCGAGAGGAAGGGACAACAGTCAGTACTAGATTAGAAAAAACTACCCAAACAGTTGAAAGCAACTTTATAGGCAGTGAGAAGTGCCCTAGAGTGGTCATTAGCCAGGCTGCAAGAATCAGATACATCAAAAAAGGGCAACATTCGCTGCAGATATTATGAGGTGGGAAGGACTGGAGGAGGCCATTATTCCTGAATGTATTTAATGAGCTAGCAGATGGCCCTATGGTCAGGACACAGGAAATACAAGTCCCATTTCTGCTGCAGACCTTCTGTGTGGGATTAGAGCAGTCACATCGGTGTCCAAGACCACCAGCAGGTGCCAGGCAGTGGGCACTGGGGTGGCCACTGTCAAAGAAGCTATCAAAATTGGTGTGAGATGCCCATTCCACTACTGGAACCCATCCGTGCCTTCTCTTGCACAAAGCCATCCAAAATGGTTAAGAACATCTGCTTTTGGTTTCACAGTAAAAGCTGACACTGGAGGAGATATGCACATTTGGGAGGGCTGTGCATTCCACAGTGAAGCTCTTTGTAATACAAACAATACAAGACCATCCTGGAGACAGCATTATTTGGTGAAAACTTACAGTATTCAAGAGGACAAGGTGGCAGAAGGCGGTGTACTGAAATAACAGAGGGACGGTCCCTCTTGGCAGCTGGGTGGTAAGGCAAAAGTGCATGGCAGAAGGGTGGCTTCTAGCCAACATTCAATGGCCCAACACTGACATGGCAGTTGCTGCTTCCCTCCTTCAATTCTGTGGATATTTCAGGGACTTGGTTGCTCTGTTTCCATTTGGCAAAACAGTGGATTGATATAAAATTGCAGGGAGGTCCCAAAGAGGGTGAATCTTCAGACTCTCTCTCTGTCTTCGTGCATGCAAAGACAAATACTTCAAAATTAACTTTCACCAAAATGTGAACTTAGGGCTAATGAAAAGTGCCTTGACGGGAAACTTGGAAAGCCTTTTGCCACAGTGTTTGGAAAGAAATTGTCAATGGAGGTTTACAACCTGTTTGCAGATGATAGAGATGTTTAGCAGAAAGATGGAAGATTTCAGGTTTGCTGTCCTGAACTGTTCTATCCCAAGCCACCCCTCTGATGATTTATGCAAAACACATTCAGTAGGCAGTGCCAGAGCAAGACTCTGACTCATTGACTACAACGTCACCCATGTCCTAGACAGATGCTTCTGTTCTAAAGCTGCAGGAGTTGACAGACTTCCCAATAAGTCTGTAATGCAGATGCTTGACTAATGTTTAGAACACGGGAAAATGTATATATTTAATATTTTCTTAAAACAGAATTCTGGTAAAAACAGAATTTGTATTCCCCTCTTAAACATCCTCCCAACAGTTCAAATCTATAGCTAACGAACACAAGGAACCACTATTTCAGAAGAAATGTACCACGTGGGAACAGAGTAATTCCAGAGATAAATTGATGCTTTAAAAAGTGTTTCTTCTTGTAATTGAATTACAGAAAAGAAGATTAGAAATGGGATAGTTCTTGGAGGAGGCAAAGAGAAGAGGAATGCAAATGCAACAACCTATTAAAATATATTAATGCTCACATGAATAGCGGCTGGAATCATTGTAATTTACTCATGCAGATTTTTTCTACCATGAACATGTGTCATGAGGACAAGCATGGCTGTTAACTATCATTGGAAAGAACAAAAATACTCTTTACAGAGCTTCCCCTGTTGAAGATGACAATTAAGAGTTAACCAATGGATAAGATTTTGCATGACTGCTTCTATTCAGCTCAGTTCAGTTTATTGAGCAAATTGTAAAAGACAAATCAGATAAAGTATCTATAAGAAAATCTTAGTTATATGGTTCAAGGAAAAGCTCAGCATATCAAATTAGTAACTTGTTTCTATACTCACTGAGCAGCTACATTTACACAATACATTTTCCATGGCAGCTACATTTACACAATACATTTTCCATGGCATTACCTCTTTCCATTTGAAAGCAGAACTGCTGGCATATCAAGGACTAGGCTGTTCCACAGCGGTAGTAAGAGTGTCTAGAATGCCAGATAGTAGTATGAACTTTCCAATTTCCTATGGAAAAAAAATAAACCTTTAAAATATAATAATGAAATTTTAATCAATTGTTTGACATGCCTACAAAGAACGGTTGAGTAGTCAGGTCAAAATAAGCCTACTGAGGCCCTGAGCCTAGTATTTTGCAAAAGCTTTCACTTCCAATTTGCCATAATAATATAAAACTTTATTTTAGAAGCACAGGCTTTGAAATCATAGTCTCGTGTTGTGGTTCAGAGAATGTGACCCACTGGACTTTCATTGTTTAGACTGCAACAGTATTCCCAGACCCAGTCATAGCCTCTGCTATGATAAGCACATACACATGGTAAGAGAAAGACAGCATCTGCCTCCAAAAGCTTACTACTCAAACTGAGGAAGGCAAGAGGAAGAGAGGGCAACTTAAGAAGTCTCTCTTGCTGGTGGCAAACAACTCCTCTCCATCTTTCAGGATGGCCTGGGACTCCCTGTGCAGCCAGGACCTCCTGCGCCCCAAGATCAGTGGCGCTTCTCGCCGGGCGCCCGGCAGCTGGAGCAGCACCCAAACCCCCGACCTGGAGGAGCTGCGATGCCTGAGCTGGACACGTACGCACCCCACCGGGCACGTGGATGAAGTCTGGCCAAACCTTTACGTGGGAGACCTGTAAGGGAGGGGAAAGGGTTGAAGGTGTTAATAAAGCAGCCCCCACCCTATTTCCCCTTGCAATCTTCCAGTCTTTGCTTAAGAAAAGAGAGGTAGGCGATAACTTGGGGACCCCTTGCAGTAAGTCTAGGCATTGAGTAAGGCTGAACTGTGTGCAGGATGCTGTAGCATAGAGAAAAGTAATGTAAGCATCCAAAAAGAACATTCCCCCTCCTGATTTCTCCTCCTGTGTTAGTTCAGGAGTCCCACACTGCAAAAGCCTGGTGGGGCCATGGCATCAGTACTGCAGGCAGTCATGCCAGAGCTAGGTAAAATGGGATCAACCTTGTTTTCTCCTCATACTGCCAGATGGCATCAGTCCCCTGAACTCATGGATGCTCAGCAGAGGTGACTCCGTGAGAAACCAAACGAGAAAACTTGGCTTGAGCGGAAATATCACAACCACCTTCTTTTTATGTTTTGTCAGTTGAGAAGAACCTCCTAAACTGGCGTTAGGGAGGAAAATGCAAGAAATGTAAAAGTCAGTGTCTTAACAAGTCAATTCTGTCTTGAAGCACTGTGGTGGACACTTTATACTTGATCAACTTCTCAGAAAATAGCCACTACAACTTCATGAAGTTTTAACAAACTGCACCCCAAAAGCAGCATGTTCTACCCCACATTGCAATGTGGCAGGCAAATAAAACACACTGCTCTTTTTCCAGGTACATTGCTCGTGACAAAGAGCAGCTGAGCCGAATGGGCATCTCCCACGTAGTGGATGCTGCTGCTGGGCGATTTCACATCGACACTGGACCGAAGTTCTACAAAGACCTGTCTGTGGATTACTATGGAGTAAAAGCAGAAGACAACCCAAACTTTGATCTCAGCATTTACTTCTACCCAGTTGCCCGATACATAAGAGCAGCACTGAATTCCCCAAGAGGTAACTAGACCATCTGTGCACGTTGCGTATCTTCTGTATAGGAGCCAAGCAGAGCAAGTTATCAAATAGAATTTGGTGTAAAACAACCACCTGCAGATTTGGGTAAGAATGGAGATACCCAAATGAAGTAGCATCACTCCTGATTCCTGAACTCCCACAGTGAGTGAAACTCCCCTGTTACCCTGAAATGGGGATGGATGAACTGAACAGGCTTTCAAAGGGGTTTTCCCTATGCCTAGTGCTATTCATTAGCAAAAGGCAAAATAGCTAGTAGGTTTTATTGCCTACAGGGATACACTGACCTGGGAGGAGGCACATACAATTGATCTTTTCAAATTAGTGATGAGTTTTGAAATGAAAGCTGAGATGGGGTAAAAAGACAAGGGCAAACATCATATCTGAGTGAGACAAATCAACTATAATGCTACAATCTGTGCAAATCCTATAAACATGGAATAGGGGAGATCTTGTGGGAAAGTAATTCTGTAGAAAAGAACCTAAGCAACACCACTAGCCAGGAGATAACATCGCACTGTTGTTATAAGGACTATAATCTTGAAATAGGAAAATAACTTGCAAAATCCTTGGACTCGCTAAACACAGGCCAGGCACAATGCCAGAGGCTTGAGGCTAGTGAGGGATCCTTACTATTAAGGACAAAACTTAATAGTTAGTAAATACTAATTACTCAGCTTAATCATATGCAGATAGGGAGATACAGTAATTGAAAATAGTGTATGTCCATGCTAGCCACCTCAGAGTTTCCTGTTTTTTGGACTTAAAAAGTATTTGCTTTTGTGCAACTGAGGGTTGCATTTGGATTTCAAAACCACTAACATATTTGGGGAATTTGGATCTGCACCCATTTCTATTACAGCATATGCTATTTGCAATTGAATTCATTATTGGTCGTGCTCCAGAGAAAGGTAAGATCCAAAATCTTTTCATGCGTATGTAGAGAAAGAAAAAAAAAAAGTCCCAAATCAATTGAGAAAAGGCAGAAAACAACAGATGAATCATGGTGGCCACAAAAGCAAACAAAACCAGCGCTTTGCAAGATGCCTGCCCAAATAACGAGAGTTATGAATGCAGAACAAGCCAGGGCTCAAGGCAAACACAATGAACTCATCATGTCTAGAGTGCATATTTATCCCTACTCCCATGCCTTTAGATATTGCTTTACTAAACTCCATATGGAAGTGTGGTTCTGGGAATGGAGACAAGGTGAAATTCAATCATACACAGTCCAGCTGTTGCTGACATTCATCATTTTAAGGAGAGTGCAACAGTTTAGAAAATATATAAACAAGATGTTCTGAAAGCATAATTTCCTGAGGTACAGAAATTTAGCAGCTAAATACCCATGACCTGAGCAGGGATGAGACAGGGAGGGGATTGTTACTCACATCATTTAGAGGAGAAAAAAAATAGCATTTATTATAAGCAGTGATGCTGAACAAAAAAATTATACCAGGTGACAAGAGGCCTGTTCATATTAAGTTCAGGATATAACGAGGTACTTCTGTTAGACTGAGAAGTCATTTAAGATTGCTGCTTAACTCTTACAAGAAAATTCAGTGGTTTAGAAAATGGAATTTAATTACCTTTTTCACCTAGGAGGATAAGTCAAAGTTAAGACTACATGAGGCACAAACATATTTAAAACCATGGATCAAACGCCCATTAGAATTAAGCAAGAACTGTTACGTCATACTTGAAAAAATATTCTGATGCTTTACACTCTAAGTCCAAAACCAGCATGGATAGATTTATTCCAGATTTCTACCTTAGATGAACAGAATATGTCTTTGCTGATGCAACCAACTTATTTTTAAGGCAATTTCTTCAAACCCAGATGCCAGAGCTTGAGCAAAACGAAGCAGGGGAGAGTGTGCTCACATGCTCCTAACTGGGAGTTATTCCCGTCACAGTGGTCAATGGCTGCATCACACTCTGAATTACTTCCTTCACTATCTTTGTCATACAGATTGAGAAATACACGAGCTACTACTGCAGCCATGCCATACAGGCATTATTTTATGAACCCTGCTTCCTTGGCTGCCTTTCCTGCAGGGCAGCCCACGTAACAGAGCTGTCTGGGAAGGCTCAGCAAGCAGATGCAAAATCTGCCCCTTGGTCTGTAAGGAAAACATGGTGTCAGGGAAGTACTGATCTTCTCCCTCATGCTCAAGGGGCAACAGCTTGAATATCAGTCTTGCCCCTTTCCATGGCCATTTGTACAGTTCTGGAGTGCAGCTAAAGCTAAGCATGAACGAGGGTTTAGTAAAGCGTACTAGAAAAAAAGAAATAGAACTTGAGAGTACAGATGAAAGCATCCTATGAAAATTATTAAACTGACACCATACAGAGAGAAAAAAATCCCAAGTAGAGAGCTTCTCCTTTTATTGACCTCCAAACATGTTTAAAATAAGCAGGTTAAAATCACACATTAACTTCCTGAAATGGGAAACCCTCTCAAAGGCATTTCCCCTCTTCCCCTTCACTGGAGCAAAGGACAAGCTAGGCTCCCTCTCCTGCTCCCTTCTTGGTCATGGTGGTGGCTATGAAAGAAACTTAACTCAGGAGAAAAGGGTCCTCTCTCTTGACTCTGCTCTAGGTACCTCACGTACATCAGTTTGACCTCCCGCTCTCCAGCATGTGGCAGCCCTTACCTGTTCTGGGAGATGTGGCAAGGAGGGACACGCCACCTTTTAAAGCTCTCTATAGGCTTTTTACTGTTTTCAGCTGTGACAAAATAGACACTTGATTAATCAAGAAACAGACAATTGATTCTGCACCTGGCTACAGGACAGTGGCTAAAGCACAACAGAAGAAAAAACTACAGTGGAATGGGAAGAGGCCCTGGGGCCCACTGGCGCAGCTGAGCTCTCCTCCTGGTGAGCTGCATAATTCCACTGGATTCAATGGAGCAAGGGCAGTCGGGGCGTTCACACCGGGTGATGGATCTGGAGCCTGGTCTTAAGCCAAACTGAATCCATCCTGCAAGAAAGCGAGGGCTGGTTCAGGACATTTTGCTCAGTTAATGATGAGTAGCAAAAAGGACAATAAGATATTATGTCTTTTAATGACTGATTTGCTCAACAACATTGAATTTCCCAACTTGAATTTGGCCAACATAGTTGAATGTGCAAACTTTATCCCTAGTGCAAACTCTTTGATGTCAGTAGAGTTATAGCAGGCATGAGCTGGATATAATATCCATAATCCGTTGTTAAAAACCAAGCGTTATTGTTCTGCACAAATCCCAGCCAGATGACAGTTATTGTCTGCCTCTGCAAAAAGTAGCTTGAGATGTGCGGTGCAACATTTCAAATAAGGATTGCAAGACTTAATAATGCCAGAAGCTAAGTGCCCCCACTTCTCCTCAGTTAATCCCATTATTCCTAAGGGATCCTGTTATGTGCTCAGGGAGAAGGTTGCAACATGGCCCTATAATGTGGAATCAGCCCAACTTCTATTCGCACTGTGTTAAAACAAATGGTGGGGTGGGGGAGGCACAGTTAGAGGATGTCGGTTTGTGGCGTGGATTCCTTGGTACAGAAGATCCGGCTGCAGCCTCCTTGCCCATCCCATGACAGGGACATGCACCACAATTGCCTCTGGGAATGTGGCTTTCCCAGGCTGGGGTCCAGCAGCCCCTCAGGAACCCGAGCCTCCTTGGTGCCGGGACAGTGCGTCCCGGCTGCCTCCCGTGAAGGGTTGATGCAACGCGCTGTTGCTGTCGAGCCCACCACTGCCAGCCCACATGGTGCAGATGTGCTCCAGGCGCTAGTCAAATGCAGTATATCATGGTGGGTTCAGAGTGTCACTTAACCCATTTACAGCTCCTGCTAAGTGACAAGGCTCTGAGCCTGTAAGCAGAACCAAGCAGGAACGCGGCTTCTGTTTCCCAACTCAGGTTTAACATTCATTTTGTTTGCTACAAATAAACACATAGTAAATTCAAATCTGCTTTCATTAGATCAATTTTACATTAATTAAATCATTTCACATAACTGATTTATCTGCAACAAACAGTCATTTTATTGTCAGTGTACCAGCATTTATCATCACTTCTGTGTGTGATGAAACAAAGGCTGACATGGAATAAATATCACACACGTAGAAAAGATAATATACCTGCATCCTCATGGAAACAAGTGTATTACAGACCCACGCAGATTTGGTCCAATGTCAATAGTTGGAGCTTCTCTAGGTTTTGGCTGAGACACCGTCTAAAAGCCAGTTAGTGACCTAGAAGGACTCTTTCAAAGTGCAGATAAGCCAGAGAAGAAAATTCAGCATCTTCTCTCAGACACAGAGTTAGATATAAAATAGTAGAGTGCCAGCCTGTACAAGCAGGAGCCAGGAATTTGTTCTGCTTTCTGTGTCTTCAACAAAAACGTATCACACAGTATTTAATGGCAGCATCCATACCTGTGCTTAGCTTAGTCCGTAGTTCCACACTGCAGGAGGGGCTGAGCGTTTTCCGAGGCAGAAGGCTCAACCTGGGTGGAACAATTTTACAGAAATTAGGTTCAGAACAGCAAGTCTCCCCCTATCCAACCTAATTTTGATTGAATTTCAAAATACTTAGCAACTCAAAGTCAAATCCAACATCATCTTTTTTTTTGGTTGTTTTTTCTCCCTCTTGGTGCAGATCTAATCATAGACGTAATTTCTTTTTCTTTTCTTCTTGAGTGGTGATAGCTTAGAAGTTCTCAGACACACACAGACATACAGGAGGCCGGTTAGCTCAGTCAGTTGAGCATAGCGCTAACAATGCTAAGGTCGCGGGTTTGATTCCTGTTCAGTCCCCATGTGTTGCCTGATCTAGTCGTCCCTGGCAGCAGGGAGGCTCGATTAAAATGATCCCTAAGCTGAAAGGTCCCTTTCAGCTTAGGCCATTCTATGATATACAAAAAAAAGCAGTTATATTTCCAGGAAAATTTTCCAGAACACATTGTTCCTTTACTTCTGTTATCTGGGGTGTGCATTAGGGTGAGCATCTGGATTTCCCCAGTCCCTGTCACTAAGTTGCAGTTAGGTCTACTACAAACTACCGAAACATGGATTTTTCAAAGACCTTTTGGACTTAGCCCTACTCACAGTATTTCTCAAAGAGAAACTGTGCTCCTGACTCCTTTACGTTGCTCTTAAAATCTCAGACCAGGGTTATTTGGGTCTGAAGTGGCTCCTCTGGAGAAGATAATAGAGCATACATATTCCACAAGGTTGGTGTGAAGTCTAGCAATAGTGTAGCACATTTGGGGGGGGGGAAGTCTAGTGAAAATTCAAATTGGCATTATCAAGCAGGAGTCCAAAGCATTTCTCCATATTCCCACAGCAAGGAGGACTTCACTTCCAAGAATTCCCATGGAGTTGAGACAGAGATGTAATTTAAATTGAATAATAGCATCAGTATCTCAGTAAATTCTGTGAAGTCCTATGTGAATGGGAAAACACAAATAGAAATCTCTTGATCTTCTAACTCTGCAAAACTGACATTACGTTGGAAAAACCTCTTCCTTTCCCCAAAGATTTCGATGCCCAGTCCAAGCCTGCTGTCACCAGAGCTGTTATCACCGCTTCCTTGGAGACTATATTAGTCCCTTTATTTCTGCTGAAGACATGTCTATCTTTAGGGCTGAGCTCAGATTTCTCATGCCAGGATAATGAAAGGTGGCTGTGTCACATACGCTGTGGAATTCAACACTTCTCTCAACCTGCTGGCCAGAGCAGGTTTTTACACCACATGCTCACGCTCTCTGAGCATGTGGCTATGCCATCGTCATTAGTCAGAACTGGAACAGTTGCTAAATAAATACTCCGCCACAAACAGAATGGGATTTAAGATGAAAAGCTGTGCACAAAGTACCTAGAATTAACACCCGGGGAGATGGGGGCAATCAATCTGAGGTTTTTGGCTGGATCTAGTCTCATCATCCAACAAGGATATTTTTGTCTTGCTCCTGGTAATAGAGAAATTAACATGCTGTAAGCACAAAAAGCCCAAGGAACTAGCCCTGAAAAGCTATCCGTTCTTTCTACCGCTCCTTACATTTTACAGAGAAGCAGCATCTGAGATATTTTATTAGAATATCTAATAAAATTTATTAAAATTTATACCTTATGGGAATATCCCAATAATGTTGTTAAATTGCATTTCATACAGATAAGCAATTAGTAAAAAAAAAGACTACAAATATGACAGTCCAAAAAAAAAAAGTCAGTTTTAAAAATGCAGAAAATTTCATTTGAAACTTGTGGAGATTTCCAGTGAAGAAGTGTTCTGAAATTTTCATGCTAAAAAGACAATAGCTCCCTGAATGAGACAGAGCTGTCCATTAGGTGATCAGACGTTCAAATATGATTCTAATCACTGGTTACTTTAATAATGCCCAATCACTGAGCCACGGTCTCTGTAAAAAAACTAGATCTGACTGCAGCAAAGGACAAGAGAGTTCAAAAATTTTCAGGCATTGCTATAATTGAGTGGAAAAACAGAACATTTTTTTCCAATTGAAATTTTCTCATTGAGTCATACCATTTTTGTGAAAGTTGAAATGTTTTACAATATTTACAAGACGCAGGTTTTCACATTCCAGAACAAGCTCTTTGTTCACAGCCAGAGGGAAAGGACTACAAACCTTGATTTTTTTTCCATCTGAAAGCAATCCTTTTGACAAAATTTACTTTAATTTCACATAAGACCATTTAAAAAACCCAGTGTTTATGTCCTTCCAGCATGGGTCAAAGACACACATTAGAAGCCTGGGAAGCAGTCATGATACATAATCGCATTCCTCAGGCTCCTGAGGAATCACGACTGAAACACCAGAAGCAGAGCAGAGGGAAGGAGGGATCCCTGGAAGGCCTTCCCTAAGGCTTGCTTACAGCAACATGGAAGGACTCGCGATACTATTCTTAATGAAGATGTACACCTCATATCGAAATCTCTGGGCAACTTAGGACTTTTCATAAATTGTTTTTCTAGTTATCACCTAATACAGAAGGGAAGATAAAGGCATAAGGGAAGGATAGTGACTATAGGTGTACAAGGTAGTATATCACTTGCAAAACCACATGTGAGCAAGCAGGGACACCATGGATGGCAGGCTGAACAGGAGGGCTTAGGGCACACCATGTGGCCAACTTAGCTGTTGCCCAAACAAGCAATCATAGATCCTGGAATACCATTATGAATTTTCTGTCCCCAGCCATCAAAACTCCCACTGTTCCCCAACCAGCACTGCACCAGGTCTGCTCTGCAGGGCTGAGCACACCTGCTTGCTCAGCCCCAGTATGAGCACCACTTCCATATCTGCTCCAGCACGATAAACCCCACCTTTTGGCCTCCTGGCATAACAGCATCTCTCTCTCCCTTTTCCAGGTAAAGTACTAGTTCACTGCGCAATGGGAATCAGCCGATCGGCAACTCTTGTCCTCGCTTTCTTAATGATCTGTGAAGACATGTCTCTCGCTGACGCAATCCAGACTGTGCGCTTGCACAGAAGGATCTGCCCCAACTCTGGCTTCCTCAGGCAGCTTCAGGAGTTGGACCTCCAGTTAGGAAGAGGGAAAGGCAGAGGAGCAGAGGCTTGATAGTGCCAAGGGGACATGTCTCCGGACACTGGACCAAGAGATGCTGCCCTCACTGAAGACAGTGCAAGGATGTTGTCAGAACTGCTCTGTACCTGTGCTGAGAAACTCCTCGGGAAACAGCTGAGCATGAGCAAGCTGGTAGGAGGCTGTTATGTATTTTTTGGATAAACCCACTAATTGGAAAGAAAAAAAAATAAAGAAGGATTCAAGCTGGCAGTTCTGTCCACCGGGGCCTCCTTATTTAACTACCTGTTGGGCAGGGCATCGGGAGCAGTTGGGTTTTCATGCAGAATTAAAAGGCAGAACAGTCAACTTGAAAAAAGACTTTTTACTTGCTTATAATTGCATTTATATGGCAAGAGGGAAAATGGCTAAACTAGTAAAAAGAAAAAGAAAGCATGAGGGTTTTAAGCAAATCTTTAACATTTCACATCCAGCTGGCACAGAGCGAGGCTTCAGGTTTTGCAAGCTGACATGCTCCTTTAGTCTGCTACGGTGACAGTAGTCAGGATCTAACTCAGACCTTGGGCTCCCTCTTATTACCATCCACAGAGGCTCTTGCTGGGACCTTCACAAGTCCTTTTAGCTTCAAATCCACAGCCAATACTCAGAACTTAAAAAGACCATGAGATCCTCAAGTGCCAATACAGAAGGTCCCAGTCAGACACCACACCCAGGGGCACGGCTGTCGCCAGCCTCAGGGCTGGTCAGAGAGGAGGACGGTGTCCCCTTGCACATGTAAAGCAAGGGGCACACTCAGGGCTCGCTGCCCACCAGTGCACTGCAGCACTGGACACAAACGTTCTCCTCTTGGCCTGCAACCCGCCGCTTCAAGACACTTTCTCCAAATTTCCCTGTTTTAATGGAAAGTGTCATCCTGTCAGAGCAAAAATGAGCAAAGCTTCTAACAAATCCAAAGCAGCAGCTCTGCATTTCGATTCCTCTTTTATGCCCAATTGGCCACATTTAATCTTGTGAAGAACTTGAAGCAGATATTTGCTTCAGTGCAATTACAGCCACATACAGAACATTGGCAAATGCAAACAATATAGAATTTCCACTTGACGGCAGATTAATTTGGTGTGATGTTTTCCCTTGAGAGATCTTAAAGGCTCGCAGTTCTGAAAGTACCCTGCAGTTTGTATTTATAGCACTATGGATGTTGAATAGAAAGAGAGAAGCATATACTTGTTCTGAAGTTTCTTTTTCCTCCATACATTAAAAAAAATTAACTGAGCATAGCACACTTTCACTGCATTTCTCATAATGCAATATAGAAACATGATTTCCCTGCAGAGCCTACAGAGAAATTCAGGTGGCGTTTCTGCTTTTACAAACATACTAAGTGAAATGCAAGCAACACAACAGAGAGATGGGTCTTCCCTCCAGAAAAGGTCCCATCCTTTGAGACTGGAGTAAGCAGCCAGAAGGGAGGTCATAGCTAATGATGGAAAAATCAGTGAAGTTATAGCTTTCACAGACCTCCTGCTGGCTGCCACAGCAAGGAGATTAGATTTCAAGGAGTGTGGTGGCTGAACCACTCCTGGCACTTGGGTCTCCTCCACCTCAGTCTGTTTTATTGCACACCATGCTAAAGCTGTTTTGTGAACAGCCTTTCCAGTTGCCATACTAACCACTCCCTTTGAGTCTCCATAACCCAGCCTATGCCAGGGCAAATGGCACTATACTAAAGCACAAGGGGTGTATGAATGCACAGAGATTTTGGACTGTTGTGTTTGAGTCCATCAGGACAGGTTACAATACCCAACAAGTTGCACATCTGGAAGCATCTATGGTTGCAGGGCAGAATTTAAAATGAACAACTTCTCAGAGTGATTTGAGCCTAAATTTACCCCAGCTAAGGCCTGTTGGTCCTTGAGGGACTATTTCAGCTGGCCAGGAACAGCCATAGATTGCCCCACCATGCCTGACTCACAGCTGAAAGCACTGTCTGGCTGAAACCGCAGCCTGCCAGGGAAGCCAGGACACTGGCCAGGCAGGGCTGTGGGCTGGATGTCACTGTTACAGGTGTATAGTGGAAGCTTCCTATTCAACTTGGAAAAGAAATAACCAAACAACGAAGAACAAGAGCTCAAAAACACTGACCCAAAGACAATAAAGTAGCTGTCCAACCCCAGGATTTAAAAAATCCCTTTCTAGAAGAGCCTGAGCTGGTTCCAGTGCTTTGCATTGCTGTGAAGTTCAGATGGTGGGAGGAAGGTCCCCCCATCTCCTTACAGATTCTCCCACCCTCCAGCAGATGACCGTACCTGAACCCATCATTACCTTCCCTTGATGCAAGGGCTGCAGCATCATGGAAGTGGCCTGGCAGGGGTACGGGTACCGGCTCAGTAACTGACGACAGTTAAGCAGTCCTAATCTCTGACCCACACATGTTGTGCACTGAGGTGGTTTATTGCCTCTGTGCCTACTTAAGCAAAAATGTTTTAAAATTACAGCTGGAATCAAGACCAAAAAACCCACAACCCAACATGAGGTGTGGTTCCAGGTATATCTTGTGCTACAATGTCGAGATTCAGAGTTGCTGACCCTTTATAAAGCACCAGCTTTGCCCTAGAAACACAGAATAGCTTCTTTCCACTGCAGTCAGCCTCGCTAACAACAAGGCATTTGGTCCTGATGCGCAGCTGTTGGGTTTGCTGCTGCTGAGCCAGGCAGAAGAAGCCCCACTCATCCTCTGCAGTGCCAGCGGTAATCACACTTGCCTAGTGCCCGTCCGAAATATTACCTGCCGAAAGCAACACTAGTTGAGACTGCAGGCAACGTGGAAGCGATCACGACAGCAGATTCAGACGCATTAATGTACAGAGCAGCAATGCCTTCTTCTTACCCAGCGCAGAGCCAATGCTCACGTTTATTTACAAACACCTGTCCATTCCGAGTGCTTATGAAGGAATGACCTCCAGCATAGTGGTGGTGGAGCTTCCCACAGAGCAAGCCTGCGAGGGAGGATGGGCCTCTTAGCCCTTTTTCACAGATAAGGCACCTGGAGTTTGCCTGAGCTGCAGCAGGATGTTTGGGAAAAAGCACGAGATTGCTTTCCAGCCTCCAGAATTGGCACAAAAGCATGAGAATAGTTTTCTCACATAAGATATCTTGCCTTCGCTAGCTTTTCCTCCCAGACTTTCAGCGATGATAAACACAGAGAAGATTGCCGTGGGCATGTCTGCACTGCGTTATTTATCCTTTGGATTTGCACTTTGGGTTTTATTTGTAAAAACAAAATGGGACCATAAATCTGCTCTGCAAGGAGCCAAGAGAAGAGAGGATAGAAATTTTCAGCAAGTCACATGGAAGGAGATGATACCAAGGACAGATTTCCCATGGAAAGACGTGCCAGCCAGGATATTGGTCAGGTACACACTATGTGAAGTGACAACAGCTGAGAGCATCAGCTCTTTATTCCATTCTTCCTTATACCGGTGGCTTTGGTTCTCCTGTGGTACCTTCTTAATTCATAACTTTTGCCCTTTTTCTCTTACGAAACAAACAAAAAAAATCTGAACTGGGACCAGAACAGATCACAAAGCTGAAAAACTAAGTCTGACTGAGACTAACTAGTCAGGGTTGAGTACCAAGCATTGGACAAGCCTAAGTTGACCACATTCCAGAGTAACCATTTTGTTCATGGTCTTCAGGGTACATACATACGGCTGCTCTTTGGACGCAGCGCCCTAAGTGATGCACGGCGCCTGTGGGCACAGCTGGAGGCAAGCAGCCTCACAGGCAGATCCCCTGCTTCTGCATTCCATTGGTCTGTTCCTCTTTAGCCAGTGGCTCTCACTTCTGCTTTAACTTTGGCACTGCCCACCAAGACCAAGTGACTTCCTTCTGCTTAACCCTGATGCCTAGATCAGATCTGCCCAGCTCCTGTCTGGCTCTCCAGAATTGCAGAGCACCGTCAAGTCCACTTGCCAAGTTATTTTTTGTCCCGATAACAAAGCTGATCTCCATGTTACTGTGGAGAGGGGCTTCAAAATAGCTTGTGCTTTAAAATTTTACTTCATAGTCTAGGTTTCAAAGAGTATATGCAGCTCCCAAAGCCAAGCCAAACAGGAACCTAGGGCCTATGAGGCTTTCAACAGTTAAGTTTTCTTTAAGCTGCAGTTATTTTACTTAGAAACTAGACCCTTGATCTGTTCCAGGAGACTGCAGTTTAATAAAGTCAAACAATTTGCTCTTTGCAGTGTACTATTTGTGGTACAAGTATCATTGAGTTATACCGCTCCCCCTCATCACTGCCTCCTGAAACCTTGTCTGTTTATATACAAAGAGCACTCCTAAAAATATCCAGAAATGTTAGCTGAGGATCTGTCTCTGTCCCTCCTCCTCCTGCCTCTGCCTCCATAACATCTTTACATCATCTTCATACTCAAACCTAGCTGTTCAAGCAACACTACGCGTCTCATCCTCTTAAAAAGGACAATAATAATAATAAATCCATTCTTTTCCTTTCTCCTCTGCCAGTAGCCATTCTCCACCCTGTCAGAGCAACTTCATGATGCTGCCATGTCACATCCTATCTAGTGTTTTCTCACTCGATTACTGAAGTACAGTGAAGCCCACATTGTCTTTATCAAATCCTTGAGGACACCCATACATGGTTCTGCCCACTTTTCACACAATAAGAAGGTGCCAAGTCAGGGTAAAAGAAAGTACCAGAAAAAGAATAACATGTTTTACTTTACTTTATAAAGGAGCATTGGAAGACTGCAAAACAAGATGCAGTACTTTCCACAGACTAACTTTCAAAACCACTTTCAGGGAAGTTACCCTAGAGACAACGCACATACCATTACAAATAAATACATTTTCACATTACCACAAACAGAAAATCTTCAGAGCAAAAATCCAGCCAGCTGACAAAAACCATTAGTTATTAAGCTTCAGGCAAAATTAAAAAGTAGGTCTGGGATTCAGATCACACATCTGTCTCTTTCCCAAGATGTGGGCAGAGCCTCCCTTCACACAAAATGCCA